ATACATAGCTTTAATTATGAACCGTTTATGGAGGATTAATTCGTATGTAGTGACTATATCAATGGACAACACAAATTTCGTGAACATAATTGTTTTATTATTTTAAGAGTGCAATTCCAAATTTATAGTGGAGTAATTTAGAATTTATAATTTTGACATATTAATTAAGGTGTTAATTAATTGTCAAAATTATTGGAGCTTAAAATTATAATGTCCATAGTTCCTCTCAATGGCTCCATAAGATTAATGTGAACTGAATATATCATATTGGGTTATGATTATTAATATAGAATTGAGAATTCTAAATACACACATATTAATTAATTTGATTAATTAATATTAAAATTAATTTAAAATTGTTTTAAATTAATATGGATGAATTTAGAGGGATTTTTTTTCTTTCTCCACGTTTCCCTCTTCTCCCCCATTAATATATATATATATAAAAGGAAGGAAACGTGCATGTGCACGTTTCCTCAAAAAAAAAAAAAAAAAAAAAGGGGAGTGGGAGGAAACGTGTTGTTGCACGTTTCTTCACCTGAGAAAATGGAGTAAATGTGCAGTTGCACATTTACTCAAAATGGGAATGAATGTTGTTCATAAGAGAGAAACGAAAAAGTTTTTTTCCAGAGAACAGAAAGAAAGAAAAAGAAAAGAACGGGAGAACAAAAGAAAACCAAAAAAAAAAAATTTGAGTGTCGTCATATACTTTTGAGAAAAGTGAGTGATAACTATAGGTGGTTTCCCTATTCATCCATCTAATGTGTTGAGAAACCCATTAGAACGCCCACACGTTCAAGTTCACATTAATCCGGAGATACATTGAGAAAGAACTGTGGTATTCTTGGAATTTAAGAGCTCAAGACGGTGTTGGAGGAGTTCAAGATTTTCGTCCTAATCGAACGACGGTCAAATCCTCATTCCTTTCTTTAATATCTTTGTAGTTAAATTAACATGAAATAATAATCGCATTAAATTTTAATTTATGTGATTCGATCGATACCACGCTTCCGCACAATTTTTTTTGAAAATCCGGTTTGAGAAACCAACAGGAAGAAACTCGAGGATTGGGAATGTGCAATCGAGTTATTGAGGAGCTACCCCTCAAAACTTTTCAGGTATTGTGGATTGTGTTTATCATCTTCTTGAGTTCAGCTATGATAGCCTGCCTAATGCGACTACTCAGTCTTGCTTCCTATATTGCTCCTTGTTCCCCAAGGGCTCTAGCATTAGAAAGACTCGGCTTATTGATCTTTGGATAGGGGAGGGGTTCTTAGATGAGTTCGATGACATACATGATGCACGTAAACAAGGAGAAGAAGTTATTTGATCCTTGAAGCTGGTATGCTTATTGGAAAGTGGCGAATCAGAAGAATTTGTGAAGATGCATGATGTGATCCGTGACATGGCATTGTGGTTAGCTTGTGAGCGCGGCCAAAAGAAGAACAAATATCTTGTTAAAGAGAGTGTAAGGCCCGCAGGGGCAAACAAGTTTGTAAAATGGAAGGAAGCAGAAAGGATATCCTTGTGGGGTCAAGATATTAGGAATCTGGATGTTGTGATGCTCTGTCCCAAGGTTGTTACATTGCTAGTTACCGGTACCTTTATGGGGACATTTCCAAGTGAAGTGTTTGAATCCATGCATGCCTTGGCAGTACTGGACTTCTCAGGTAATGTAAGTCTAACCTTGTTGCCTAAGGGAATTGGTAACTTAAGAAACCTGCAATATCTCCATTTGTCTGGAACAGCTTTAAGGGCATTGCCTGTTAAGATTAAGAATCTCAAAAAATTGAAGTGTTTATTACTAGATGATACTTATAGTCTAATTGATATCCCAAGGGAAGTTATGTCAAGTCTTCCATCTTTGCAAGTGTTTAGTAGATTACAAAGCCCTAGTCATATGAACTCCCGTCCACAATATGATGAAAGGGCCTTGTTGGAAGAGTAGGAGTTCTTGGGACTCATTGAGGATATATGTATTACCATATTTAATTCCCTCTGTGTTCAAAAACTACTAAACAGTAAGTTACATTGGTGCATCAGAAATCTCACAATTGTGTGGTGTTTCACTTCATTCAACATATCAACTTCATCTCTCAGCAGATTGGAGTATATGGAAACTCTTGAGATATGGAATGCCAATCCTCTTCGAATCGATGTGGAACAGAAAACGATGTAAGGTTCTCTACCCAACAGCCGAGCACCTCAAGAATCACAGGGCTTGAACAAATGCGAAACCTTCTTGTTCTTGTGGTCGTTCCGTGTGAAATGTTGGAAATGAATTGGCTCATTTAGGCTCAACGACTTCAAACTCTCCAAGTCATCGACTGCTCATCAATTAGAGAAGTTCTGAGTGATGGTTCCGGGGAGGAAATCAGACATGAAAATCGGAATGCACTCTCGTGTCTCACAACGATTCATTTGCAAGGCCTTCCGAGGCTAAAGAGCATAAGAATGCAAGCCCTGGCCTTGCCTTTACTGAAGGAGATTGAAGTGTTGAATTGCCCAAAGTCTAGAGAAGCTTCCATTTGATTCCAACACTAGTGCAAAAGGAAAGTTTGACGGAAATTAGAGGACAGAGAGATTGGTGGGATAAGCTGCTGTGGGATGATGAAATTGTTAGGAATGTGTTCAGTTCAAGATTTGTGTCCTTGGATGGAATTTCTATGTGGGACCAAGACTCTCCCCCAACTCTCTCTCTTCCTTTGATTGTGTCTAGACTGCCATCCTTGCCTCCTACTTAATTTGCATCATTCATATTTTATCTTACTGAGTGCCATACATACTTTTATATGTGTGTTTGTTATATGTATGAGTGTTTGTATTTACTTTTGCTTATTTTTTCTGGAAATCTTTTTTTTTTCTTTTACGGAATACATAACATTGTATTTTGTGGACTGGATAATATAATGTAACGTGTAAATCTGATTTGGGACCTCAAAATTGGGTCCTATTATGTGTACTATCCAATTTAATGTAAGTGGGAGAGCATTGATTAGAAAGAGTTCCCCATCATTTAATTTAAGTGGGAGACCATTATTGTTTTCTTATTTCTTATATATAAACAAACAACAAAAGGGTTGAATTATTAGCAAGAAAAATGCAAGGATTAAATTCTTTCATGCCGGCACGTTATATTTAAAACTGCTGTACCCCACTTGGTTTTGGTATTGATTACTTGATGCATCAATTATCAACTTAATTCTCATTAAAAAAACAATTATCAACTTAATTATAAACTAAGTTTAGGTAACGAGATGTCATATTGATTAAAAAAAGAACGTACCTTATAAAGCGGTGTAGAGTAAACTCGCACAAGCAATTTAAAATATGTATATTAATACAATTCCTCATATGTACACAGTACACTTCCTCAAACTTGAACTTAGTAAAACATTAAAATTTAAAAGAACAATACATAATAAAAATTTAGACTTTAGAGCTCTAAGCAACACCCTGACTGAACATGAGTTGAATACGCCTCTGGTACTGCCATTTTTGTCCACGTGTACTGCTTCGTGTCTAACACGTAGGCCATGTGGGGCTCACCGAACCTCGGTGAACCAATCACTAATAGCTTTCCCTGCCATGTCACCACATATGCGATCTCTTTCACCTCATTGGGTAAATTAGCGACCACTTTCCACGTGGCATCCTTAAATGCCGCCAATTCACCCGCGCGACACATGTACAAGCACCCGTCATCTCCCGAGACACATGTCCTTGGACACGTGCCAACTTCAAAGAAATCCTCGTTCACCGGACCCCACTGCCACGTGGAAGCATCAAATGGCTCGGCGCTGCTCTCGAATTGGCCTTGCATATCAGTGGAGTACCCACCGATGACGTGGAACATGCCACGGTGGAAAACACCTTTGCACTCGTCCCGCTCTCTTCCCATATCAGGCATGGGCAACCACTCGTCCCTCGCCACGTCATATGCCATCGCGGATCTCAACGCATTTTTCTGGTCATCGTGCCCTCCTGCAACAAACACCATCCGATCAGAATCCGACGCCGCGCAAGCGAAGAACGACCTCGGCACACCCGGCATGTCCGCCCCACGGCGCCACGTCGCCGAAACAAAATTATAAATGAACAGGCCGTTGGATGCTGTCCACGTCATCGGGTCCCATCCACCCAAAACAATAAGATCAGATCCGACTTGAACAAGCTGACAGAACAGAGGCAACTGGTCGGATAGCCCGAAAGCGGGATTCAATTCCCACCAATCACCAGTTTCCGGCTCGAGAATTGAGAGCCGGTAAGTCGGAGCAACCAGATCTTTTTTTCGGGTACCGAAATCGGTTCCGGGTTGGGCCCGAGCTTGAGCCATGACGACGAGGTTTTGGCTAAATCCGACGGCCTTCCTTCGCCGATAAAACTCCGGTAGGTGAATCTCGGCCCTCCAATTCCTGCATGTCGATGCGACGGCCGCGACGTCCTTGTAATCCACTCGGATTAAACACTCGCGAGCGATGTCGTCGGGTAAACCCGGAATCAGCTCCATGAAACCCAGAAAAAGGAAATCAGATCGACTTTTGAAAGAAAAAGATAAAGAAAGTGATAAGGAAGAAGAAAAAGAAGAAGAAGAAGAAGAAGAAGAAGAAGAGAAGAAATGGGAATTCTAGATTTCTAGAAACGTTTTGAGAAGAGATTGTTACGAAACAGAGTGAATTTTAAAAACGAGATAGGAGTTATATATAGGTGAATACTGAGTATATTTTTTAAGTATATTTGATTGGTATCATAGATGATAAGATTTTAGTTTCTAGAAGGTTGAGCCCTGTGGCCTGTGGGTACTTTATTGGGAGTTTGGAACGGCCTGTTGGTTTCTTCTCTTCTCTTTTTCCTTTATGCTGTTTTTTTTTTTTTTTAAATTACTTTCTTTGTCTTTGTATTATGTCTGATAATTTGCATGCGTCCATCCGATATTTTGGGGTTTGCCTGTTTTATTGAAACAACATACTCGAATCGAAAAATTCAATTTCTTTTTTTTAAACAAATTGAAACAACTTTTTTACTTTTTTTTTTTAATGGTTTTACAAAGTGATGGAATATCAGTAAAAGACGATTCATTAAAATTCTCATGTAATGTCAAGAGACCGATTTTTATTATATATTATGAGACTGAAGTTATGCACCTCATCACTTATTGAATATGGTTTAGGCATATGTTTCTTTAGATTCGATGGATACTAACTGACAAAAATTTAGATCAGGTTTTTTTCCTTCGTTCTATTCATGATCTTAATATCTTATCAAATGGCCCTTATGTAAAGGACATGAGGATGTCACTGATTATCTGATTCTTTTCTTAACAAGTAAAAAAGAAAATAATTGTGGCGTTGACGGATAAAAAAGAAGGGATTTCCAATTCTCCATAGGCCTACCATCAACGTGACAACCACGCCTGGTCTAATTCCAAAATCCGAAGCCCCTTTTTGAGGTTAAAAAGCTAGCTTGCTAGTGCCATACAACCAATATTTGTTTGGCATCAGTGGGCCATACTTGTCCAAATTTTTATCCTTCTAGAAGGTTTTATATTTTTATTTTTATTTTTATTTTAAATTGTCTTGCATAGCATAGATGGGACGCTTTTTATGTACTACTTGACGTCTTCTTCTAGAAGTCGAAAGAATTTTTTATTTTTTATTTTTTGATAATTCTGTCTATGAGAGAATTATTTGTCTTTGGGGGGAATAATTCTAGACTATCCCTCTTTTTTGTTTTGTTTTTTTTCTTTTTTCTTTTTGATGGAAAATGATTCGCCTTCTAGACTATCTGATAGTGATACGATTTTACCTTAGAGTGTTTTGGATCGTAATTTCCGTTATTGAATCTTTCAACTATTATTGTTTAATGTGAGGTATTGACTCAAATAATAAAGACTTGACAGTTGAACCATAAAACCAGCTTTCAGAAGAAAAAAGAAAGTTTCAATGTCAACAAGAAGGCCATACATTGTTTCGATCAATGCTAATATCCAAAATGGATGTCGATGGGATTTTTTTGAACCACATGTATGAGACTCAATGAATTCTACAAAATTCTTTTTATTTTGACATCCTATTGATCAGTTTCAATATTTAGTAAAAATATTTCACTATAAAAACCTCTTAATAAAATAGGTTATTTCGGAAAAAAAAAAAAAAAAAAAAGTAACTAGTATTTGTAAAAAAAATTTATAAAATTCAAAATTTCATCATGTAATTTACTGTTGTTAGAATTTCCTACGATGTAATACAATTTTTTTCATTTTCTTTTTATCAATTGATTAAGAAGTATAGTTTTATTGTAGCTTCTTTTTTCCTCGAGTTCTTCTGTGGTAAGAACTTACTCAAATTGTTTGCTTTTGACTGTTAAATCAGATCAAAATTACATTAAAATTAAAATAAAATAAAACTATGGAGGCCAAATAATTTTTGATCAAATTGGTAAAAACAGAGAGCTATCCTTAATTTATTGTTTGAAGACTTATCATGAAAATTTCCTTTTTTTCCTCTCATTTTTCACGTTAACCCGTTTCCTCTGCCTACGATGAATGGATCTAAATTTGAGAAGTGAAATATCCAATCGAGCCAAAAAAAAGGAATAAAAAATAATAATAATTGAAGAAGACCTTAACCCATTTGCTCTACTTAGGCAAAAGTTACACTCAAAACGTCTTAGTCGGCTGAAAGCAACAATAAGAGAAGATTAATAATAATAAAACAAGGGTGCTTCTATATTCACGTACCAATCACACCGATTTTTCAGCTCTAGTTGCTGTCGTTTCACTACAAGTGAATTCATATTTAATTGCTTGGAAAAGTCCATGAAAGAGAGCATTGATGATAAGAGCAAGATTTGGTTGTGCTTGTGCATGTAGAAACCAACAAGTGAATTGAGAGTGGCATTGATATGACATGAGACGGGTTCCAATTGGTTTTCTTTTCGTGCAAATCTTTTATAGCAACATTGGATGGATAAGCAATAAGTGATTTAATTAATTGTGTGAAGGAGAGCCATGGATAAGCAATAAGTAATTTAATTAATTGTGTGAAAGAAAGCCAATTAAACTTATTTTATAGTCTCCTAGGTTAATAGTAATATTAATAGAAAAACCTTTCATATCAGCCAACTTTTATTGACTAATACACGGTCAATTAGTAAGGACAAGATCATTTGTATTTATAGTAGAAACTAGAACGAGATAGTGGCCCTGCCCCACTGTAAATGTGTACGCGTTGTGACAACTTTTTTGTGTAGATGTGTAAGTTAGGATTAGATGAAACGTCTCAAAAGGAAAAAAGACTAATAGACATTTGTTGTCTTTAAACTCTTGGCAGTTTGATCCCTGACGATTTTTTTTTTAATTTTGGCGAAACAATCCCTAACTGTTTAAGGATTAGTAATTAAATCGTCAAATTCAATCAAGTTTTTATCAGATTCTTGCATGTGACCCATCATGTAACTCTCTTTTATGTGAAATGACCAAAATGCCCTCAAGTTTATTAAGTTCAAAATTTACTTCCAATCGCAATAGAAATTAATATTGCTACTAGCCTAACTCTATATTGATTAACTTAATTATTTCATAGACTATGTCATGTGGTATATATATCAAGTTTATTAAATGAAGGTCAGCTCAGCTTTTCAATGTAACTATTTGTGAATCACTAACTTGTTATAAAGTAATCCTGATACACTTTAAAATATAAATTCTAATGATTATAATTAATTAACTTTCCTTTTCAAAAAAATAATAATAAATTTTAACTTTTTAAGGCTATGAGATCATGAGTTAGGGCGAGAGTTTCCTTCATTGTGTATCCACTACCGGTCCACCACCACCACCACTACCATAAAGAAACTTCATGAGAAGCTGAAGGTGTTAATGCCTGACAACATACATAGGCCTACTCATAATGCATTTGCAAGGGACATAATTTTCAATATCTTCATATACATATATATGTATATGTAAATATATATATATATATATATATATTGCTAGTTATACATACATATATATATATATGTATGTATATATTGCTTTCTATATAAATCTAGTCTGACGTCAATAGACAAGCGACAAGTAGCAGAAACACATGCATGTTGACATGACATTTTCTTTTGCGATAATTGTTGGCATGACATTGTTTCTAGAAAGAAACACTGTATATACACGGAAATTCAAAAGCACATGCATTGAGAAATATTTTGTGCGGACAAACGTAAAATCAACTCAATAATAATGCACGTGGAACTGTGGAAAACTTGTTGCTCCTTCCAAAACGGGCCCAGATCCAGATAGCGAACTCCACGGGCCGGCCGAATTATAAGGAAATAAGAAAGAAACAAAAAAAAAAGAAAGAAAAAGCAATACGTAAACCGATAATGCACCATAATTCCTAATGTAGACTTTTTTTTTTCTTTCTTTTTGATTAAAAGTCAAATGGAATTTTGATGATTGAGCTCAGAGAGCAAGTGAAAGTGAGTTTTATTTATAAATGAAGGGTTAATCTCATGGGTGCCTCTCGATTTTAGGGTAATTTTCATTTTATCTTTTAAAATTTTATAATTTTCACTTTATTTTTTAAAATTTAAATTATTCTCACTTACCTCATTCGGTTATAATTTTTATTAAAAATAGACAAAAAAGAGTAATTAAGTCTAATCATGTGATTTTTATCTGTTTGTTTTAAACAGAAACTTAAACGTGACTGCATTATTCTCTCTTTTTTTATCTTTTTTTAAACAAAATTTAAAACAGAACGAGTTAAGTGAGGACAATTTAAAGTTCAGGAGGTAGACTGTGAATTTTTAAAATTCAGGAGGCAAAATGATAATGACCATAAAGTTCAGGGGCATCAATGTTAATAATCCTTAAGGATCCGTTTGGTTCATGCGTTTAAACCAGTGATTCTTGGTTTTGACATTTGAAATTCAAATTTTTTGTGAAAGGAAAACACTATAGCAATATCAAAACTATGGGTCTAAACACAGCAAACAAACGAGCCCTTGAATAATGTTAGAAACACTAACTCAAATATTAAATTTTGCGTAAAAACTGATATGACATATGAGTTATCATTTTTATATTGATTAGTTTTTAAAACATTATCACGTCAATTAATAATAAGAGATTATATCTATCAATAAAAAAAATAAAAACTCATGTTTCGTATTAATTGATACACAAAAATTTAAATTTGAGTTGGTGTCATTAGCCTTAACTTTTTTTTAATAGGAATTTTAAAATTCCACTATTAGAAATTTAAATATATAGTCCAAAATTTTAGACCTAAAGCCCTAGTTATTCAGTGTCACAACATGTTCCGCAGGCATCTTTTTATACCAACTCTTTTGGAGTTTTAGGAGACAAGAACATTAATTAGCATTATTATTGTTTATACTCTAATTAATTCACTCTTATCCTTTCTCTTTCTCTCTCTGCCTTTTTTTCCCTTAAAATTATCAAAAAGGTGTGGGCCCCGACCCCATCTTGTTAAGAAAATTCTAATTTACATAAATAATAATAAGTGGCGAAGCAGCTTTCTATTTCAGTGAAAAATACCGAATTCATATATTTTAAAAATAGATTGCAATATTGTGATGAGTTTTTTACCTTAAAAACGTCATAATATCTTCATATTTAATACGATGGAATAT